CGTGGTCTGCGGGCCGAAGACTACCATGCGGGATTGCCAGCCGTGCGGGCTCACGTCGAACTGGGTGTGCAGATTGCCATGCCGCTGCGGGCCGCAGGCGCCAGGTCGTGTCCTGCAACATGCCAAACTGTTTGATTGTGCTGGTGATGGTTCCCCTTGCCATCGTGCCAGGGGCTCCCGTGGGCCACCGCCAGCGGGAGGATCTAAGCGGGAAGTCAATATCGAGCAGCAGCGCGAGGCCATCCGCAAGCAGATTGTTGTTTCTGCGCCACGCACAAGACTACTACCCTAACTGTTGTTCAAGTGTAGCAATTAGGCTAGCCTGGTGCTGAGAAAAATGGAAAGGACGACCTGCTCCAGTGTCAGGTGTAGGAGTTGGAGGCAGCCATCTGAGCGCGCAAAGGCGACGCCACGGTGGAGGCCAGGACTACTATGGCGGCGAAGCTTCAGGAAGAGCACAGTCGTCATATTGAGGCAATGAAGTCGAGCATCAGGCAGCGCACGAACGATGGGGCACAAGCTCGGAAAAAGGCGACTGCGACGCTCAATAAGGCCAAGTGATATATGGCAGGTCAGGATGAGGCGATCGCAGCCGAGCAGGCCAAGAATGTCGAGCTAGCAGAGGAGTAGAAATCACATGATATCGAGGTGGCCGGGCTGCAGAAACCATGGGATCGCTGACGAGAGGGGTACAGCCTGCTGCGCCCGGTCGTGAACAAGCCAACGAAGTGGAGCTGGGTGTGCGCACTCTTCAAAAAAGTTTGGCGAGCTGTTCAATCAGAATTGCAAGGTCAAATTCGGGGTAGCCGCGAGCCGCAATAGTAGTGCTGATGGTGGGCATACGCCCGTGCCTGAAAACATGGACGCGGACGGTGCCTTCGCCAGTCTCGACGCGGCCGAAACTTTCTTGAACAAGCACCGTGGGGATAACAGGGCTACATGAGAGATGCTCGCTGCTTTGCGACTCAAGAAGCATGACCTGTCGCCCCTATGAGCACACGAATTAGCCTGCAACGCTATCAAGGTAAATGTTTGCCCCTCCTAGAGGCGCACAAGTGAATGCGACGATAAGACTTCGACGATCCTAGGGCATTTACGTCTGCGCGGTCGGTGAGGCCGCAGACCTGGGCCCGAGAGTCGGCGCACAAGCGAGGCACGTTGCAGGCCAGAGCGCAACCGCGTCCAGGCCGCGTCCAGGAAGCTAGCAACATTGTCCTGGCTTCGGAGCACTTCACTTCTCGGACCGCTTCCCAGCTGGGAGTGCGCATCAAGGTGTCGAGCAAGCTGACGTGTTCCGGCACGGAGTTGCCAGTGCATGGCACAGGCTGCCCGCCAAGGACTGCCGCCTAAGTGAGTGATGGATTTTTCGTCCGGTCGAGCATGGGGTTAGGGCGGCCTGATTGTCACCGAGAGGTATCGGTGATCCTGCACGAACTGTTCTTCGATACGGTTGATTTCGCTGGTTGGCCGTCTATCCTGGTGGGGGTTGCCTATCTGTAAACTCGGGAAGGCCTTAGTAAAAGAAACTGTGAAATCATCAAGCAAGCGGGAAAAGTGATGGACGCGGTCCGCCTCTATATATGATTGGGGCCGGCTTTGATTTACCATCAACCATGCTGGAGATGTGTTGCTTGTAATCAAGTGGCGAAGCAGCAAGAAGCCAAGACCGAGGAACCAAGGAGCCAAGACGAAGGAGCCAAGACTAAGGAGCCAATGAACCAAAAACCAAGGAACCAAGGAACCAACACCAAGGAACCAATGAACCAAGACCAAAGAACTGTGAAACCAAGGCCAAGGAACCAAAACCAAACAAACAATGAAACAAGACCAAGGAATCGTGACACCAAGACCAAGGAACTAAGACCAGGACAAAGAACTCAGGTGATGTCTTGCCAAGAAACAACACCGCAGAATCCCAAGGGACGCGCTTGCAAGAAAACTAGCCCAAATAACCCCAATGAACCCCGGCGCAACTGGGTCCCGATCCGACCAGTTTTTCAATACCAAGACCCCAACTAAAGAACCAAGAAGGAACCAAGACAACGGAACCAACGGAATCAACATCAAGAAGCCAAGGAACCAAGACCAAAGACCGAAGAAACCAAGACCAAGAAACCACGGGCCAAGGAGCCAAAGAACCCAGCCCAGGAACCCAGGAACCAAGGAGGCAAGACCATAGAACTGACCCGGGCAACGCCTTCGGGAACCTGGCCAAGGAACACGGGGACATCCCCTGTAAAGAAACAAGACCAAAGAACCCCGGGAAGAACGGCGCGGCCCATAGGTTGAGCAGGGACGACCGTCCTGGCATTCCTACAGTCATACAACGAAATGTTCTTAGAACCCAAAAATGCTATTAAAAAACAAAACAATGTTCTTATAACATAAACCCGATGTGTTAAAACAAGACAGACTTCGCCAGAAATGTTCTAAGAACATTTCGTGGGAACCACAAAAGGTTGTTTGGTGGGGCTATAGGCGAGCCGGGACGCTTCGCCACTACTTGAATTGGCAAGCCCAATTGGGGAAACATATGGCGCCGGCGGCATGGGTGCAGCCAGCCAACGGGGTCAGGGATGCAAGGCAGCGGTGCAAAAGACCCTCGAACGCCCACGGTGAAGCAAATTGGCGGGGGCGCCCACGTCGACACGGCAGGGGCCGAGGAGGGCGCCGCGGCAGGCAGGAATGCGGGACCAGCCTCGGCGAAGTACGGCAGCCGTGCTGCTTTTTTCCCAACCATCCTGTGGTGTTGGGTCCTCGTTTTGAAGAGACAGCGCCCCGCGTCCCACCTCCTTCCTTCCTCCTCCTCCCCCTCCTCCCTCCTCCCCCTCCCTGCCTCTGCTCTCGGCATACCTCTCACACGCTTCGCAGCCCCATAGGGAGCTCCACCGAAGGCCCCAGTGGTTGCTCTCGCATGCGTTTCCCCCACCCACGGCAGCGTTTCGTGGCCCCATAGGGAGCTCCACCGAAGGCCCCAGTGGCTGCTCTCGCATGCGGTTCCCTTACCCAAGGCAGCGCTTCGTGGCCCCATGGGGAGCTCCACCGAATGCCCCAGTGGCTGCTCTCGCATGCGGTTCCCCCACCCAGGGCAGCGCTTCGTGGCCCCATGGGGAGCTCCACCGAATGCCCCAGTGGCTGCTCTCGCATGCGGTTCCCCCACCCAGGGCAGCGCTTCGTGGCCCCATAGGGAGCTCCACCGAATGCCCCAGTGGCTGCTCTCGCATGCGGTTCCCCCGCCCAGGGCAGCGCTTCGTGGCCATGGGGAGCTCCACCGAAGGCCCCAGTGGCTGCTCTCGCATGCGGCTCCCCCACCCCGGGCAGCGCTTCGTGGCCCCATAGGGAGCCCCACCGAAAGCGGTACCCACAACGCGTTACGAACAGTTGCTTATGGTTGGGTCCTTCGCCAGGATAATTATTGTCCGTGCCCGCTCTGCCAAAAGCGACAGCCTTCCGAACTTCGCGCCGCGTGCTGTGCGAAGCGCGGTCATCTGGGCGCTCTCGCGCCGCCCCGTCCAGCCCAGACCGCGAATGGCGAGACATGGTTTTCTCGAAGCCCCCGCGGGAGGCCCGCGTAGGAAAGACGGGCGGGAGGAGCAGGAGGAGAAGATCCCAAGCCTCTCGCGATTGTCACTCAGCTTTCAAATGCTTCGATGGCCCAACACCTTTGGAGACGACATGCCGTGGAAATCTGAAAACGAATGTGAGCGCCACTGATAGAAGTTCCCCAAATAGCCGCAAGGCAAGAGGCAACACAAATCCGCATACACAGACAAACACCATCGGCCCATCTATGTAGTCCACAGTGCTGCTTCCGCTATACAAGAGCTTCTGCCAGATGCCACCGTTATCCTCAATGGTCCACTCGGCAAAGACCCGCCACGGCCTGACTTGCGCGCGTAAGCTCGCAGTCACGTTGCAGATACTGCCAGAGATGAAAGAACCTGTTCCGCTGCCACACCGCAGGGTCGGAGCCAGCGCATCGTAACCCAACTGTTTCACGACGCCCGCAAACTGGCTCTCTCCAACAACGGGCAGATACTCGCTGATCCTCTTGCGTCGCCAATAATGGTGGTCATGCGATCCACCTACCTCTGGCGCTATCCATCCGTCGCCGCCGGCCAGCTTCCTCGACCACTCAGTGTCCATCCTGGTAAAATCGTAGTGGTACTTCCACATGCGAACATAGCTCGGCTGCTCGCCGTTGTTGAAAGGCCACTTCTCACCATCGAGAAGGTTCTCCAGCACAAAGCTCCCTGTCCTGTACTTGTCGCCGCGCGTTCCAACTCTCCCTACAGTGACGATCTTATACGCCAGGTGCAAGAGCCACGGGTTGCTCTGATAGCTGCCAAGCGCCGCGAACCACATTTGCCAATCCAAACGCGGTTGGTGCGGCGCGGTCCTGCGCGGCATCCGGTCCTCGGGCCCAGGTGTGTACCTGAATGGGATCTCTTTCCAAATCTTTCCGTCGAGTGAAGCCTCTACGACCAAGGCTGGAACCGCCACGGCGCTCGGCGGTTGCCCCGCCCAACCGAATTTCTTGTCCGCGCTTTTGGGCGAGCCAACTCCAGTCATCCTGCGGAACAGTCCGTAGCTACTCGCCACGTTGAACGTGTCCAGCTGCGCTTTGAGTTGCTCGTACTGCTTTCGAAAAGGTAAGTGCCTGACGCTGTCCGTATGCACCTGGCCCCAAGGTAATATGCAAACACCGAGAGCGGCAAAACAGAAGCACATGTGAATCGCTCGGCGAAGGAGGCGCCATGTGCCGCAGAACGGGCTGCTCGAACTCCCTCCCGCCAACGTTGGCAGAATGTAGAATGTGGAGATCACAGCGAACTGGAGGAAAAGGAATGTGTAAGCCGTCGGCGAAAAGATGTACACATCGAAATGTCTCAAAACATCATTGGTTGTAAAATTCTTCGATATGCGCCAATACCCGTCCTGCTCATCCTGGTACACCGTGAACATATTCGAAAATACAAATACGAAGAACCCTACAGCGGCGAGAAACGAAAACGCCCGTAGCGTTTTGCGCAAGCCTTTCAAGGTTTGGGAGAGATTCGCTCTGTCGAAGACAAGCGAGATGCTCTTGCTATCCAAATCCATCACGCCGTCGCTGTCCCACGCCGGCAGCATCAGAAGAATCGTGTGGAGATTGAGCCAGTTGTAATTCCCCGTCGCCATAATGCTGAGCTGCAGCGGGATCTCCACCAGGACAGCAACTCTCCTCACGTATTTGAACGGCACCAAGAACATGACTCCCATGGGCAGTTGCTCCACGAACATAATCGCAACGCTAAGCCTCAGCAAGAATGGGTGCATGGAGTGCGCGACCCACGCCTCCCTCGTGGGTATGCACGTCGAGGCGAAATGGTACTCCAGGGCCGTCAGGCTGTGCCACGTGGGGCACTCCGCGGACACCTTCACGTGCCCGGTGTTCATCATAAACTTCGCGAAGAACACGCGGTGGACCAAATTCGCCAGAGGTCTGCTGCCACCGGTCACGCGTAAACTGAAGACGGGGCAATAAAGCAGCGCCAGAAACCCAGCTTCTAGGAGGAGAATATCCCACTGGAAAGACAGCCACCGCTGTCCTGTTACGTAAAGCGACAAGTAAAGCAGGTCGAGAAGGGCGTAGAGAAGGATGTGGTGAACTATTCCAGCTGCACCGAGGATTCCCAGACTCATGCCCAATATGGCCATGAACTCATGCGCCGAATCTGGGTCAATGTCATAAGCGTCGAACACCCACTGGAAGCTCGGGTATTTCAGATAGCCCTGGATGAGTTCTCCGATGTTGAAGCCACTTGCGGTTTTACCAATCGTGAAGACAACATGCTTCGACTCTAAGATCTCGGGCACGTTCGAATCCGATGCGCAGGCCCATAGCCAGCGCGGGAAGACATTCAGGTCGAGCGTAGTTGGCTTGTCCTTTACCGTTGAAAGGATGTTTGCCTTGACCGTCTGCCAGTGAGGCTTAATAGGCAAAAGTCCGTTCTGGCCCAGGATGCCAGGATACTGCAGGTAGTAGCTGGCGAACGCCAGAACAAATATGCACGCATGCCCGCGGAGGAAGAGCAGGCGGGCTTTCCCCATCGTGGCAGCCGGGGGGATCTCTCACATCTCGAGCCGGCACGACTGCGGAGGAAGCAGAAGCAGATGCTGTTCCTGCATGCGTTGCAGTAGAAGTCGCCACCGTGCCTTCAGCACGCAGCGCAGTGCCACAAGGCTCATGCAAGTCTGAGCGAAGAGTAAACACTTTCGTAAACTCTTGACAGGCCCGCCCGGACCACCAACTTCCCCGAATTGCTGGGCGTTCCTGGCCTTTCTCGCGTGGGCCTCTGGGGCGGTGACCCCGCCCAAAACGACCTGAACAACCCCCCAGGCTTTCCGGACAAGAGCCCAAGAGGGTTCAAGAGCGCCCCGAGATGGCCGCAGAGGGCCCCAAGACGGCGCACGCTGCCCTCACGACGGCCCCCAACGAGGGCCCCCATCATTGATCCCCCATATTCTGTTTGACTGGCTTTGACGCTCTCGCCCTTTCTTGCTGTCAACGCTCCAAGACGGCCTGAGAGGCCCCCCAAGATCACCCCAAGACGGCCTAGTAGGCCCTCAAGAGCGCACCCCGACAGCTCAGAAGGGCCCCAAGGCGGCCCAAGAGGCTGCCACGGCCCAAGAGGGCTTCAAGAGGGGCCGAAGAGAGGCCCCAGAGGGGGAGACATAAACTGAGACTTCGAGCCCTCCGCCCCAAGATGACCCCCGAGACCGCCAGCAGGCCCCCAAGAGGCCCCCTAGAAGCGCCAGGCGGCCCTCAAGAGGCCCAAGTCAGGCCTCAAGAGGTCCCCAAGACATCCCAAACCGCAGCCAGGATACCTCCGACAGGCCTCCCAAGAGATCCCAACGACCCAGGCACGGTGACGGGATGGACCGAAGGCCACTAGATCCGCCGCCCCCTGTTGGCTTGCCACAGGGGTGCCCGGCGTGCTGAGTTCAATCGCTCTTGGGTTTGGTTAATTTGTCCGAAAGAGCTCCTGGGGCTTCGGCCCGTCCCGCCGGCCAGCCGAAAGGCCTGCAATTCCAAAAAAGATTGCCCCAAGACGGCTCAAGATGGCTTTCAGGACAACCAAGATGGCCCAAGATGGCCTCCAAGATGCCTCCAACATGGCCAAGATCCAAGATGGCCTCCAAGACAGTAACACTGGCCCCAAGATGCCTCCAAGATGGCCCAAGATGCCTCCAAGATGGCCTCAAGATAGTGTAAGACAGCCCAAGCGGCCCCCAAGAGGCCTCCAAGACGGCCCAATAGGCCTCCAAGAGGTCATCCAGGAAAACCCGAAGAGGCCGACATCATTGATTTGTTGTAGCTTTTTAAAGAATGTTTGCAGTTGCTTCTGTTCGATCATCCAACGGCCCGAGACGGCCCAAGAGCCCCCAAAGATCGCCCCAAGATCACCCGTGAGGCCTTCCAAGAGGGCCCCAGAACGGCCGAGGGCCCCAATACGGCCCCAAGAGGGCCCACGACGGCATACGAGGCCTTCAAACCGACTAAGATGGCCTCCAAGACGGCCCTGGAGCACCCCAAGAGGGCCCCAAGTCGGCCCAGAGAGACCCTCAAGACCGCTTCCGGGGGCGTCGGACAGCCTAGGCCACCAAGACGGCCCGAGATGGCTCGAAGATGGCCCACGACAGCCAAAGAGGCCCCCAAGAGTTCTCCAAGATGGCCCAAGAGGCCTCCAGGAGGTCGTCCAGGAAGGCCCCTAAGAGGTCTCCAAGATGGCCCAAGAGGCCTCCAGGAGGCCGTCCAGGAAAGCCCGAAGAGACCACAATCATATTCCTGCGGGTTGTTGCCGGCTTTCGGCATTTACTTCTGTTCGGCCTACGGACGGCCCGAGACGGCCCACGAGCCTCCAAAGATCCCCCCACGATCGCCCAGGAGGCCCCTAAGAGGGTTCCAAAACGGCCCAAGAGCCCCCGAAGACGGCCCCAGGAGGGCCCCAAGACGGCCTAAGAGGTCTCCAAGACGCGCCTAAGAGGCCTCCAAGACGCCCAAGACGGCCTCCAAGACGGCCCTGGAGCACCCCAGAAGGACCACGAGTCGGGCTTCCGACGGCGTCCGACGGGCCAGGAGGCAATCAAGACGGCCCAAGATGCTTCCAAGATGGCCCAAGACTCCAGAAAGGCCCGAAGAGACCAAAATCATTGATTTACTTTGGGCTTTTAGGGATTTGGGCATTTGCTCATATTCGATCTTTCAGCGGCCCGAGGCGGCCCAAGAGCCCCCAAAGATCGCCCCAAGATCGCCCACGAGGTCTTCCAGGAGGGCCCCAGAACGGCCCTAAGAGGGCCCCAAGAGGGCCCCGCGACAGCCCGAGAGGCCTCCAAGACGCCCAAGACGGCCTCCAAGACGGCCCTGGAGCACCCCAAAAGGACCCCCAGTCGGGCCAGAGAGGCCCCCAAGACGGCTTTCGACGGCGTCAGACGGGCCAGGAATGCCCTAAGACGGCGAAAGAGGCCCCCCGAGAAGCCCCCAAAGGCTCCCAGGAAGCTTCAAGGGGGCCCCCAAGAGTGCCCCCAGAGGCTCCCAAGATGCCTCCTCCTCCTCCTCCTCCTCCTCCTTCTCCTCCTCCTCCTCCTGATCTTCCCCGCCATCCTCCCCCAAGTGTTCCCCGAAGGGTTTCTTCAAGGGCTGGGGGAACACATGGCCCGCTGGCTTGGCAGAGCTCTTGCCACAACGCTCGGCCACATTGGCGATTCCAAAGGCAGGGTGCGGCGGTGATTCACCGTAGGCGTCTTCGACCCGCCGCCCCCTGTTGATTTATCACAGGGATGCCCGGCCTGCTGGTTTACCGGCGCAGCCCGTAATTTGATTTTCGCGAGGTAGACAGACTGAACTGAACCACCAGGCCGTTAGATGGCAGCTTTATTTCCGCGGGTGAGGATATGTCGGTAGCTGTTTTAAGCCAGCGGGTGAGGGTATTTCGGTGGCAGTTCTAAGCCCGCGTATGAGAATATGTCGGTGGCAGTTTTAAGCCAGCGGGTGAGGACATTTCGCTGGCAGTTTTAAGCCAGCGGGTGAGGATATTTCAGTGGCAGTTTTGAGCCAGCAGTTGAGGATATTTCGGTGTTTCAGCGGGTGGGGATATTTCGGTGGCAGTTTATTTCCGCGGGTGAGGATATTCCGGTAGCAATTTAAGCCAGCCGGTGAGGATTTTTCGGTGGCAATTTTAAGCCAGCGGGTGAGGATATTGCGGTGGCAGATTTATTTCCGCGGGTGAGGGTATTTTGGCGGCAGTTTTAAGCCGGCAGATGAGCATATTTCGGTCGCAGTTTTATTCCCGCGGGTGAGGATATTTCGGTGGCAGTTCTAAGCCAGCGGGTGAGGATATTTCGGCGGCAGTTTTAAGCCAGCGGGTGAGAATATTTCGGTGGCAGTTCGAAGCCAGCGGGTGAGGATATTTCGGTGGCAGTTTTATTTCCGCGGGTGAGGATAATTCGGTGGCAGTTTTAAGCCAGCGGGTGTGAGGATATTTCGGTGGCAGTTTTATTTCCGCGGGTGAGGATATTTCGGTGGCAGTTTTAAGCCAGCGGGTGAGGAAATTCCGGTGGCAGTTTTAAGCCAGCAGGTGAGGATATTTCGGTGGCAGTTTTATTTCCGCGGGTGAGGATAATCCAGAGGCAGTTTTAAGCCAGCGGGTGAGGATATTTCGGTGGCAGTTTTAAGCGAGCGGGTGAGGATATTTCGGTGGCAGTTTTCTGCCAGCGGGTGAGGATATTTCGGTGGCAGTTTTAAGCCAGTGGATGAGGATATTTCGGTGACAGTTTTAAGCCAGCGGGTGAGGATATTGCGGTGGCAGTTTTAAGCCAGCGGGTGACCATCACCCGCTCAATAACACCTCGATAACACCCGATAACACGTCGATAACATGTTTTCGAGATGTGTTCGAGATGTGTTCGAGATGCTATCGAGTGTGATCGAGCTCGATAACGCTCGAGAGCACCTCGATAACACTCGATGACACCTCGATAGCATGAGGTGTTATCGATGTGGTATCGAGTGTTATCGAGCGGTGGCAGTTTTAAGCCAGCAGGTGAGGATATTTCGGTGGCAGCTTATTTCAGCGGGTGAGGATATTTCGGTGGCAGTTTCAAGCCAGCGGGTGAGGACATTTCGCTGGCAGTTTAACCCAGCGGGTGAGGATATTTCGGTGGCGGCTTTAAGAAAGCGGGTGAGGATATTTCGGTGACAGTTTTATTTCCGCGGGTGAGGATATTTCGGTGGCAGTTTTAAGCCAGCAGGTGAGGAAATTTCGGTCTCAGTTTTAAGCCGGTGGGTGAGGATATTTCGGTGGCAGTTTTAAGCCGGCGGTTGAGGATATTTCGGGGGCAATTTTAAGCCAGCGGGTGAGGATATTTCGGTGGCAGTTTCTTTTCCGGGGGTGAGGAATATCTCGGTGACAGTCAGCGGGTGAGGATATTCCTGTGGCTGCTTTGATCCAGCGGGTGAGGATATTTCGGTGGCAGTTTTAAGCCCGCGGGTGAGGATATTTCGGTGGTAGTTTTAAGCCAGCGGGTGAGGATATTTCGATGGCAGTTTCAAGCCCGCGGAGGAGGAGGAGAAGGAGGAGGGAGGAACCGAGAAAATCTGTGCTCGGCGCGGGCATCCAGCAGCCACGCGATGCGTCATTCGCTTGGTTGGCCCAGCCGACGGCTACGCATCCAGCGCGGTGCTGCGCCCGTATATATGCTCGCCCCTTTGCGTGGGGCTGGCGGGGGGCCAAGGGGCGAGCTGTCTGGTGATTGTTTCTACGATTTTGTTTTGGTTCTTGTAAAAAAGAACTCCCCCATGGGGCTTCGGCCCGTCCCGCCAGCCCCGCGGAAGCCGCACAAGGACCGGAATTCCAAGATCATTTCTCCCAAGACGGCTCAGCGTGGCTTTCAAGACCGCCAAGATGGCCCAAGATGGTCTCCAAGACGCCTCCAAGATGGCCAAGATGGCCTCCAAGACAGCTAAGATGGCCCCAAGATGCCTCCGAGACAGCCCAAGATGCACCCAAGACGGCCTCACATAGCCTCAAAATGGCTCAAGAGGCTCTCAAGAGGCCTCCAAGATGGCCCACGAGGCTTCCAAGAGGTCCTCCAG